GAAAATTTTGCTCAAAACTTGCATAAATCAACATAAATACCACATGCAATCCAGCCAAAATGCCACATTTTCATCATACACCTCAAAAGTACCACCTTTTCACACATGCATCCACAAATCAAGGGAAACCCAAAATTTTCTCAAAACCCCAAAGACCCCAAAAATTCATTTTTCACCAAAACTCAGTCAAAATCAGCCAACACCAACAGCTAATGAGCTTCTAGAACTCATTTTCATCCAAAAACAGCGAAAAACCTAGCTTCCCTTACCTCGGCACAAGAATTCTGAGCTCCAGGACGAAGAAGACAATGGAGAAGGAGAAGAAACTCAACGAGGGAGAAAGGAAATCCGTCCGACACACTCAAACAACTCTAATCAGCACCTAGAATCCAAGCAAAAGAGGAGAAGTGAGAGTTTGAGAGGGAAGAAGAGAGTGTATCAGCAAGTGTGAGTGAGAAGGGAGTGTGAGTGAGAAAGAGTGGCGGGGAGAGAAAGGAAAAGGAAAAAAAAGGGGGTCTCACAGAACTAGTCTCTTAAATGTTCCTTAACTCTTAGAACTCTACAATGCAAGCACCACATGCATAATTATTGCTAGAAGCCAATAATTAAAACTTACAGTGTTACAAACACTTGGACCAAATAACATTTTAATAGCACATGACAAAAATATAACACATATTCCATATAAGTTAAACTTTATATACACCAACATTAACCACTAAAACAACATTTTTGTAGTTATGCGACTTACTTAAATAATTTTATAATGCTTTTAATTTACAATTTTATTTAATTGTATATTAATTTATATAGTTTAATCGGTCTATAATTTAATTATTCTATTAGTATTATATTGATTATAATTTTATTTTAGATATTTCTTTAATGCATAGTAAGAATTTTATTGAATTTATAAGTAAGAAATTTGTAAAAATATATTTGGTCTATAATCGGTCTTTATTGCTCTCTTGATTAATTAATATTAAGTTTGTAAAAATATATTTCATAAATACGATTATTAATTTTTTAAAGGAATTAAATTTATGTTCTTTACATTTTGTGCATATAATCTTACACTTCGTCTTTATATTCTTTACATTTTGTGTATAAAATTTTTCCCTTCGTCTTTACATTTTAAAGCATGTTATTTTAGCCTTTCTTTATCTTAGTGAAAAGTGAGTAAAACAGATTATATATATATATATATATATATATATTACTTTTTTAAGTGTAATTTGATATCTCCTTCTTTTTTTACCTTTTCATTTTTCTTTCTATGCTCCTCCTCTATTCATCCAGAGTCCAAAATGGGATAAATGTTTTTTATTTCTCATTTTTGTAACAATTTGACAGGTCATCACACTTACTACTAGATCAACAATAAGTAGAAGTGAAAGCATGCATAAAGTAAAATGTCCTCTATACTATATATATCACAACTAGACAACTACAAAATATCCTTTATACAATCAATTTAGGACTCCTAAAATATGACTCCACCAAAAGAGTCACACAAAATAACCATCATCTTTGCTAGCTAAGCACCTAGTCTTGCCTTACTCGCATACTAAGTATAGACATTGCAGTCCTAATCACAAGGAAAAGAAAGGTAAACTTATGAAAGAAATAACATATAATAATACAACTAAAGCAAAAAAAAAAAATAGATCGACAAAAATATAACTCACAACTTATAGCATGCTCAACATTTATCAACTTATTCATAATCAACATCTCAACATACATATATTAACAACTAATGCATCGTCACATATGTCAACTAAGGAGATCTTCTACAACTGAGGTAAATAGATTAAGTGGCATGACCTATTGAACCACAACGTTAGGCATATCTCAGTCAGATCAAGTGTAGAACAACATTAGATCTGATAAGAGAGATAGGTATAAACAAATTAATTTGATTTCTGAAGCTTTGCCACTTAAACAAGGAAGTATGGTATTATGCCAAGGTAAAACAATTTGGGTATGAGTCTACCACAACATTAGTTAGCTTAACTAAGCAATGTATGTGATTAGCCCACCAGCTACCCTCCAAATACCACAATCCTTTGATACTAGGTTCGGGATTTTAACCCCGAATTTGTAATTTACTCAACTAGTCATTTAATTAAGATATGGTTTGGCTACTTCCATACCAAAACCGCATAGACCCTAGCAGGAAACAACTTAAAAAAAATACAACTTATGGCATCTATGTATCTCAACTTAGGCATGTATCTGAACCACATGTCCATAGCTTTACAACTTTATATAGCATATCACATTACAACTTTAAATAACTAAACAACTGAACCAACATCAATCTCAACTTAACAACTTCAACTGTAACATAATAACTATACAACATACAACTTACAATGTAACATCATTAATCCAGCAATAAACTTACAAAATAGGCATTCATCATCATATATCAACATACATATACATCAAGATTTCATAGTCAAAGCAACATGAAACCATACATCAAGAATTCACCATGAGTAAAAGGTTCATACCTTTAAAACCCCCCTTTTTGTTGTTAAATTCATCAAGAGGAACAAAAGGGAGCAATAGAGGATTTTTCACTCAACATCGGGAGCAATGCTCAACATTGAGAGGGATGCCCAACATCAAGAGTGATGCTCAACATCAAGAGTGATGCTTAGCCTCTAACTCTCAATCATTCCAATGCTCAAAACATTGAAGGCAATGATCAACATTGGGACCAATGCTCAACATTGAGAGCAATGCTTAGGCTCTAATTCTACACCAGCCTAATGCTCAACATTGAAAGCAATGCTTAACATTAGAATCTCTATCAGCCCAAATGCTCAACATTGAAAGCAATGCTCAACATTGAAAGCAATGCTCAACATCAAGACCAGAAAAACACTTAGTCATTGAACTCCAAAACTTCAAATTCACACATGGAAATTAGAATCAACTACATGCAACATCAAATTTCATATATATTCAACATTTTCAACTAAAAACAACACATGCAACCATCAATGTTATCCACTTTTGCTCAACTCACTCAAGAGAACATCAAAACCCCAAATACCCTTTGTGACCCATAACTCAGCCACCAATAAATCCAACAATACAACATGAAATTAGGAATTTTGAAAGGTATCAAATAACAAGCTTGCTACACAGGAATAATGGAAGCTTCCTTTACCTCTAAGGAGAAACAAAATCAGCCAAGAGGGAGAGAGGAAAAGAAGCTCTACATGGATATGAGTTTGGCTCCGCAACACAACTTGAGAAAGAACTCTCACAATTACTCACGAACTACACAAAGAAAAGGAAAGAGAAGAAGGTTTTTAGGAACGAGAAGGAAGAGTTCACTTCTTTTATACTAATTTTGACCAACTAAACAAAATTACGAGACCCCTACCTTAACCTAAGTGTTACAATTTCAAATTCAGGTTAATACCATCATGGATGTGTATTAATGAGCTTATTCCTATGTTAATATGCAATTTTTGTTTATTTTATTTAAATTAAAATATTTAATCTTCTAATTTTAAAATTAAAGAATTTTCATTTTACTCTTAATTTAACATTCATTAAATTTTAATGTTACCTAATCATATGTTACTATTTAAGTGATGTAACATTTAATGATATAATATTTAAAAATATTTTTTAAAAAAATATATAAAAGAAATTTATTTGTATTAATTTTAATAGGCAATTGATATTTATTTTATTCTTTTTTAATTTTTATTTCTAAATGATATGTCAAGTGTTACGTCATTTAAGTGGTGACAAGTCATGGATCATCGTTAAGACTACATGATAAAAAAATCTCAAATAGATAGCTAGATCTGTATTTTTAAAATTAAGAGACTAAATTTCTCTATTTTAAAATAGAATGACCATAATAATTGTAATTGACATAATTTAGTCAAATTTTAAAAAATTTCATATTGAATAGTGGTATGACCAAAATAGAGTATATAAATTGTAGGAGTGTTTATTAGTTCAAACATCCAATAAAATTGATGATCTAAACCAAACAAAATAAGTTGACTCGATTTTTTTTCTTGATCGAGCAAATCAGATTTGACCTTAATTGGTTCAGATCATGAATTTGTATTTTACAAATTCGATAATATGAAAATTGAACCAATTAAAATTATTATTATTATTTTATTATAATTATTATCTTAATATTATTTTAAAACATTATGATTTTATTAGTAATACATACCACAGTAGCATTCTAAAAATACTACTATTTTACAATAGTTCTTTTATGATATTGTTATTTTAAAATATTAATTATTTCAAATGTTTAATTAAAATTTATATTTCTTACATTAATTTTTTATTTATGCTCGAATTGTTATTTACATTTTGTTTTTAAAAAATGATATCAACCGTTTTATTTTCAAGTAAACCTATTAATCCGAACCAAACCAACTCATTGTTAATTACTTTAATTTGGTTTGAAGCACAATTTGTTTTTTTTTTTTTTTATAAATCTGATCTAAATCAAACCAATTAAAATTGATTGTTTTAGATCTTAATTTACCTTCAATCTAAATCAAATCAATCTATAAACATTTTTAATGAATAGAGACAATTTTCGTTTACAAATTAATTTTACGAGATTGAGTTAAATCTAAATATATTTTTTATAAAAAAAATCAAATGAAGTATCAAAGTATCTTTGCATACTAGAAGCTAAAATTAAACTTTTCCATAAATTAAAAACTAGCTAGCTTGAAAAAAGTTAATATGAGAAAAAAAAATTATAAATTGTTATGTATAAATTTAATTTAATTTTTATAAAGACTTATTTCTTTTATTCTTTATTTATTTTTTTCAAAAAGTTTTATAGAAAAATTTATCTAAAATCAAATTCTTACCGATTGATTTGGGATTTTCAACAATATCATCATCACTCATAATATAGTAGCGAGCAGAAAAAGAAAAAAAAAACGCCAGAGTAGAAATGGAAGAAGATGATAAACAACCTAGTCATTTCCTTCCTCACATGTTTGTTCAAGTAGAGAGTGAACTCTTTGAAACCAGTTCTTACCACGATATACAATCACAATGGAGAAACATAAGTGATTTTCTATTTACAAGATTTTTCGAAGAGGCTGAGCCTATTATCAGACAGCCTTGAGTTGTACGCAGCATTCTTGTATTCTTTCCATGTGAATTCTTTGTACAAACTCTCTTCTTCCTTTGACACGAGTGAAGGTAAAGGAGCAATCTTTTCATCTAAGGGTGGTCCTCCAAAGTAGATCATTGACAACCTAGACGTGCTCGAGTTAGCCAATACCCTATGCTTTACACTTTTAAATCTCCCATTCGTCATAACCTGAAATTTACAAATTTAATCACAACAATCAAAATCAAAGCACAGCCAAGTAGTAACTGAATATCCTTGGCTGAAAATTCCCAGATGATATAATAGTATTTCTTTTTAACACAGACACACCACACATGGTGAGGTAAAGGGAATCAATTAAGAAACATGTTTTTTTTTTTTTTTGGTAATTGGAGAAAACAAAACAAATGATGTGTAAATAATGTAATGGTGAATAATATAAAATATAAATATTAGATCGAAAAAAAATGTAAATACATGTGCATAATTTTCAACGAAAATTTTGATTGATGCATGGAAGATGATGAGGAAAAAGATTGAATTTCTAGCCATGGAGACAAACAATTTTGTTTCGTCCAACAATTAATAAAAATGCACTGTTTTCTTGTAAATCGATTTTTTCATTTAGACTTATACGGTTCTTTTATAATTTATTTTTCAGGGCCCCTTAAAATCACATCATCTATACAGACATTTTTATTACTTATTTTATTATTTCTTTTCATCATATTTGTATATATTTTTGTATCCGATTTTCTCCCTAGTTTTTTTTTCTCTATTCATGCACTAGATGGTCATTCAATATTTTGTATTCACATTTCCCCCCCCCCCCCCCCCGCCTTATTTTCTTTCTAACCTGAACCTATCTTTCCATATACTCCTCGTTAATTAATACCATTTCATACTCCGTTTTTATTTTCCTCCCTTTCTCAATGGTGAAAACCAAATAGATGAATAGTCATTTCATACTTTTACATTTTTGTTTTCTGTAAAAAAGTTATAGAAAATTGTTAAATATGTGTACCTGCAAGAGGTCACCAACAATGACAAAGAAAGAAGTGTCATCCGGTGGAATTGAAGCCCAAGTCCCATCTTGGAGACAGATTTGAAGTCCTGTTATGTTGTTGGCTCTCACGACAGATATTATTTGAGGGTCTGTGTGTTCACCAAACCCAATTAAACTTCCTCCACTCAATATTTCAGCTTCTTCAAGCTCTGGACATGCCGGGTAATGATTAACCCTCAAACAGCAATCACTTCTCTCATCCCTTGTCAGCCTACTAAACACATTTTTTGCTTTAATCTCCAACCCATCAGTCATTAGTTCTAACACTTCACAGCACAGGTTCTCCATTCCCCATATATAATCCTCCACAGCACACCTTAATTTCAATAATAATAATAATAATAATAATAATAATAATAATAATAATAATAATAATAATAATAATAATAATAATAATATTAATATTAATATTAATAGTGTTTGAATGATTATTTACTCAAGACAATACTCACTTTCACTCTTACTTAGTAACGAGTTTTATGTTTTAAGTTGATAGCATTGTAACAATA